CCGGTGAAAGAAAAGTCATAGCATACCTTCTCGAACTTCTCAATGGTACGCTTGTCAATACCACCGCACTTGTAGATCAAGTCTGTATCCCATTGTGAGCGTGTTGATCCCGCAGTGTTTCGGAGAGGGGAGGCTTACGTCCGGTGGTGGTCGACTTGCCGGAGTCGACGTGGCCGATGACGACGACGTTGATGTGAATCTTTTCCTTACTGCATTGCTTGTTAGTTGTCTGGTTGGAGACAAGGGCAAGTGGCAAGCTCAAGATGCGACTGTGGGCACAATCGAGGGGCCAGAGAGGCGCAAGGTGGGGGTGAAGGAGGGGGGACAAGAACTTACCCCATGTTGGCGGTAGTGTGTTGTTTTGGATGAAGTGAGGAAAAGCTGTTGAATACTCAGATTTACAGCGCGCGGTGTAAGGTATGAGTTGGACGAAGAGAAGAATTGGACGATGGAGGGGTCGAGTGTTGCTAATATAGCTGGAAAGCCTAGTGGGTCCGTGCTAGTTTTCGGCGCTAGCCCCCGGTTGGGCTACGAAAACTCCTTCACTGGCAACGAAATCTGTAGGCAGAGAGGCAAAACAGCCCCGCCTGATTGGCCCTGGCTCATGTCGAGCCCTTTGAGTACTGCTGACCGCCCGCCATGTCCTCGCCACAGCCGCAGTTGCCTCACGCGAGCCTGTGAGTGCATCGTCACTGCCCATCCCTCAGCCCTTTTGGGGACATGACTTCATTCTGCCAGCCCTCCTGCACACTGTGAGATTGCCTGGCCACATTCACAGTCTACCCAATTCCACCCTCTTCCCCCTCTCGCCTTTACAGACGAAAAATTTCACGCCAAAAACAACCACTGCCGCCAGCCTTGGGCGCGCACTGAGGCAGCTTGGGTTTCACTTTTGCCGCACTGCAAAACTTTTGGCGGGGTACTTGAGATTGCCATCATACTGTGTACCCAGCCCCACCACTAGCCGAGTCTGATGTGGCCTTGGCGGCAATTCTGACCACCCTTATGCACACCACCGTGTTCATACCTGCTTTTCTTCCACTAGTCTCTCTCTGCGTTGCTTTTGCCCTCTCTTTGCCATTGGACATTGTCCTGCTGGAACAATGCCCCTCCGCTGAGCCCCCAAGCCTCGTCATAGACCCTCGCTATCTAGTACCTACGTATGTACCTAGGCATATCCAAAGCTCTGGGCCCCGCCTTCATGGCCTTCGCCGCCCTCGACCGACCATGGACCGCACTGGAACTCAAGTTTGTTATTGACAATTGACTCAATGCTTCTTTCTCTTTCCAAACTTCTCGTCACACCGCTCGTACACACGCGCTAGAAGAATTTAACAAAGAATTAACTGCAGTCACATAGTGTTCCAAGTTCCTTAGCTCTCCTAGGGCTACATACTGGGACATGCTGCACATCCAAATTCTCCACGGTCGCAAATCCACGTGCTCAACCTGCCCTTACATGTGTACTCTCCATGTGGGCCGCCGAAAATGAGAGCCTGACCGTAAAGATTTTCGAGACTACTCTTGCAGATCCAAATCTCCAACCAGCCGTCAATGATGCGACCAGCTTCTTGTCGTTCGCTACATTAGAACCTTTTTGTTGATCAAGTCTTGAGCTGTTCGAATCAATGTTGGGACAATGATGGTTCAGTTTCGATCTTGCTCTGATTCCGTCTACATTGGCTACTCCTCCCGAAGCCCAACCATTCATCGATACGATAGAAGCATGTTAGGATGAAGCTCGTAGACTCTGTCCAATGAGCAATCTCCCCATGTCTAATCCTGGTGTTTTCCCTCACGCCACATGATGCTTGTTCTGTACACCTAGGGACTCGTATAGAGTATATACTAGATGGACAGCTGGAACACGGATAGCTAAAACACGGGCATCTAGGACAGCGGACAGCTAGGACATAGGACAGCTAGGACATAGGACAGCTAGGACAGCGGACAACTAGTAGACGGACAATAACTCTCTAGGCAGCGCATCTGTTTGATCTTTGTTCTGGCTGTCCGCTGTCATGCATTTAAATAGATATAACGTTGAAAATCGTATTTATGCTTCACCTACTCTGTAATCGTGTTTGATGATGTGGACATAAGGACAATGAGGACACAAGAACGATAATGATGATATGGACATGGTGAGGACATGAGGACATGAGGATATGAGGATATGAGGACATGAGGACATGAGGACATGAGGACACGCGGACATGATGTAATGTTAAAGGTCAAGCTCTAGACCTTACCCCAATCACAAACACATTACTTAACCGTCTGTGCCGCTTCAACACCCGTTACACAGGGAATTTCATGGTATCTATCTCATACCCAATCTAGGCACACACACCCTATTCAACAATGCCCATATCCCCGTTCCATCGCACCCAAAAGCCTAGTTATCCCAAACATCATTCAACAACCACAACTGGCCCGCCCACTGCTCCTTAACAGTCGGCCAGATAAGTTCAGGCGGCAGGACAAATCCGCCTCCGGCCGCATCCTGGGGGCTTAGCTCCATAGTCCACGAGTGCTCGGCACCATGCACAGCGTAGTGGTGGTCCCTCGAGTTACCCGTGGAGAAATATAGAATCTGGCAGCCAGGTCCAAACTCATACGTGACGTTTCGCGCGCTGCCTTGCTGGATAGCTTTGGCAGTGCCACCCGCGACCTCGAGCATGCGCGGAAGCGTTTCGGGGAGTGGGTCGCAGGAGAAGCCCCAGGGAGTAAGGATGAGCTGGCTGTACGAGTGGAAGTCAATGAAGGACCGGATGCCAGCGCCTTTGCTGGAAAGCTTAGCAGAGAGGCCGTCCATGGCTTGGTTCTCCGGTGTGTCGCCTGCGGCTTCGCCACGGTACGTCTGCCCGCACGGATCGGGCGTTGAACCACCGTCTGGAGGCGTGGCGTCCCATTCAAACTTCCAGTTGCGGTTGCCGTCGGTGCCGAGACAGGTTGTGTTTAGCTCGGGGCGCGGCTGCCGGTTCTTGCGCCATAGACGGTCGTTGGTTTGGGTGTATAAGAAGCCGTCTGGGTTGTGGAAGGGGACGAGGTAGAAGTCGTAGTGGTCTAGGAAACTAGTCACGTTTGCATCGCCTTTTTGGTACCCGTCAATAAGCTGGTAGGCTAGGTACTCGATGACTGAGGGCGTTAGTTGGTATTCTTTTATCTCATTCGTGTTCTGCTTACCCATTGTGGAGATCCATTCTCTAGCATGGACGGTGGCATGCCAAAGAATAATGGGCTTTTCTTCTTGCGTTGCATCCTCAGTGCTCTTGTCACCAAACAAATGAAATGCCCAAATTGTCCTGTTCTCGTAACTCTGACCAATCGAAAACTTCTCAGAGTTGTCAGGGAATGCCGCAACAAGGTCGTCCCAATACTGAAGGTGGTCGGAATAAGCATGGTAAGTGTCGAACCACGATAGATCTGGAAGCTGGCCCGCCGTATGCAAGTCACGCTTGTATATGGCTTCCTTGTCGGTAGAGCGAATGTATTTGCCCAAATCCGAGTTCACCAGGCGAGCGTTCAACCCCAGTGCACGAAACGAGTCGATCTCTTCGGGTGGAATAGCAACTGACAGCGTGTTGCGGATCGGGTGGGTATGGTAGTTGGAGAAGCGCTTGTTAATATCATGAGCCTCTTCGGCAGAAGATGGCGTAATGGAGTAGATTTGGTAGCCATCGTATCTTGGGCTGGCACTGCGAGACACAAAGCTAGCGTCGTGTGCGAAAGGAGACGCTGCTGCCAATTGAGCGGCCACCACCAACTTTGACAATCTCATTTTGAAGTTCAGAAAGTTGACAAGACGGCAACAAGACACTACAACATCACATGCACTTCTTAAGTACGTTTTCAGACCCCTGTTGTAGCCTTATCTGCGCGTCGGGAAACTCGGTGCGATGATGGAATGTCGCCATGGAACTGTCGTAGCCCGCACAACATTCCCGCGCTCACTTGCATCACTGGAATCATATTCAGTAGGTGGAGCGTCGTTCGCCCGCTAGCCAAGACGATGCCCAGGCGTTTGTATACTTGTGTACCCCCAGCTTCCTGATCTAGACGCATCGCCAAGGAGCAAGGCAGGCCGGGTATGCAACTCCCCCTCAACCCCGGGTATATTGCTGATCCCGTCAAAAGCCGTTGAGAAGCCGCATCAAACCCTATCCTATAACTATTCTGTAGCCTCATGTTTGATTTCAAAGATTGCTTGAAATTTGCATCTTCTTTTTCTTGGGAGACAGACTATTTTCAGCACGATGTTCCTGAAGAGACGACATTGGTGTTTTGATGACGTCGCATTGGAAACAACCTCTACGTATGGTCCGCGTGGATTTGCTTGTTCCACACATGTGCGTGCAGCAAGCAGAAGCAAAAGCTTATACAACAGGCGCATGGGCAAATAGGACTCGCGATTATGAATAAGGTTTTGGTACACAAGTACCGTAAGCACGCTTGTGCTGCATGCTTGGCCAACTTGCCTATATGGGCCAGAAATCCCAACCCCTCTACTACGTTCCTTGAATCTACATGCATTCCCATTGTCACATCATACCATATTCCTAGTATTCAAAACTTCACTAATGGCTTCTTACTTCTACACAGCGATCACGGTAGCAAGAAAGCACAAGGTGGAACTACACATTCATAATCAACCCCCGCTGTTGCGCAATGACACTCAATTTCGAAAGCAACGCAAGCAGCAAGCGAAATCACCAAGCAAGAACCTCAAATCGCATTTAACAACCCGAAATGCAAAGAAACTCCCGCTACCTCATCACGCAATAATGCCCGCGGAACAATGAATCGTAAACATCCACCCATTTAGGCATAGTGCCTACGAGTCATAGAATCTCAGTATTTAGAGAACGACATCCTACTCACAATACATATCCAACCTCAAACCAAAAGAATAACAACACCAGTCTCTAGCCCCAATTTGGCCCTGGATCAATCACCTCTTCAACCAACCCCCACTTCCACCAAACATCACCACAATCATGCCCGCAATGCTCGACGACCCCACATCTCCCCCAATCAAGCGCACAACCCCAATCCCCTCCTTCACCCCCACCCCCGTCACCCTCCGCGACGGCACCACTCGCGCCACCATCCTCCCCTTCACCTCGCTCTCGCAGGTTCCCCCCTCCCTTCTCTCCTTCCTCTGCAACCAACTCGCCCTCGAAATCGCCGCTGGCGACACCTACCCAATGCTCGACCCTTTACCTCTTGAGGCCTTTGGCCCTTATTGGTTCAGTACTTTTGCCGCCGTCATGGTGCTCGGCGAGGGATTGAGTGTGGAGAGCGTAACGCAGATGGGGGAGGCATGGGAAGAGCGATGCTTGGGGAGTTTTTATGTAAAAGCTAATTATCCGGGGAGGAGCAGCCATGTTTGTAATGGCGGGTTTTTGGTGAATTCTGCGAAGAGGAATTTGGGGGTTGGGAAGGCGTTGGGGAGAGCGTATTTGGAGTGGGCGCCTAGACTGGTGAGTTTTCTTTATTACAGGCGAGGATGGTGATGGGGTGTGTGTTTGTGAGCTAATGGGGAGAAACAGGGATTCACGTATTCGGTGTTTAATCTGGTGTACGAGACGAATGTTGCGTCGTGCAGGATTTGGGATTCGTTGGGGTTTGAGAGGATTGGACGGGTGAAGAAGTGTGCGGTTTTGAAGAGTTTTCCGGGGAGGAAGGTGGATGCGATTGTTTATGGGTATGATTTTGAGGAGAATGAAGATAAGAAGATGGTATAAAAGTTGTGGCGACATGTTGGATTTGGTATCTAAAACTGAAAAGAAAAAAAAATCGACCATCTACGACTTAAGAAGACCATTTCAGTTCCTCGAGCTTCTCCACGCCATATGGTACGCTCGGCGTACTCCAAGCCGCGCCCTCGGCACTCTTGATTTGAGGCACAGGCTTCAAAATGCTCAACCTCTTGCTGTCGAACGCACTGTTCTCAAAGCACTGGTACCACCCACAGTTCTCCTCGAGGTATTGTCCAATAACCTTTTTCCAACCCTTGTAAACCGTTACCAGCAAGTCAAGCACATGGTGACTTCCACGCATATCACCCCACTGGAACCTCTCCTGGCACTCCTTAACCGTCTCAAGCGGATAGAGCCCAACATCCTCACGCAGCGCATACGCGTTCACACCAACAAGCGAAGAATGAACCTGATAACTTCCTCCCTTAACCGCGCGGTCACGCAGAGCCTGCATTGCGCCTACAGCTCCAAGGACTCCAGTCGACATATCTGAAATAGGCAGACTAGGCAGCACAGCCTCGTTCTTTGGAAGCTGTTGTGTAATTTCCAGTGCCTTACCTGTGACGTACGCAGACCCAGCAGCAGCATCAGCAATTTGTTGCCAGCCAGGGCGCTCCTTGTAGTACCCGTCTGGTCCATAGCAGTTCTCGGATACGTAGACGATGCCCTTGCCTCTCTTACCGGCCATCTCGAGCATGTTATCGAGACCTAGACCGTACTTGGCCATCTTGCCCATGCGGAAACCTTGGATAAAGACGTCGGCGTCTGCGAGGAGGGATTGCAGATATGTCCTGTCAGACTCTTTACGGAGGTCTACGGTTGAAGTACGTTTTCCGGCGTTGAGCGTGAGTTGCATGATGTTGATGTCGGGGAGATGGGGTGGGTTGAGGCGGATGACGTCCGCACCGAATGCTGCGAGGATGGTGCCGACTTCTGGGCCAGCAATGACGCGGGTGAGTTCGACGATTTTTACGCCGGCGAGGGGCCTGGGGTCTTGTGGGTTCAGAGGTGGGAAGCTGATGGGCGGGGTGGGGATAGCTTGGTTCTGTTGCTTGACGTTGACGAGTGGGTGTGCGGCTAGTGACTTGCCCATTGTCGACTCGTTCCATTGCTGGGGTGTGAAGCAGATGGAGCCACAGAGGCCGTTCATCAAGTTCTTGAGTTCGAGCTCTGCAGGGCTAAATTTCTTGGTATGTTCTGCAATGAGCGCTGCAGCTTCTTCGTTGGACGAGACCGGAGAGCTGGGGTCGATACCGATCATCTCGAGGGTTGGAGTAGCATTCATACTTCCATGAAGGGAGTACCATGTCTCAGGATCTTTGGTAGGATATAGGGCGGTTGCACGGTATTTGAGTGGTGTGTCTGTCCAGCCCTGCTCCCAGTCTGGAAGCAATCCACCAAGCTTCTTTTGTGCTGACATGCTCAAGACATCTTCTCCGTTGAGAAACGCTGTGGCAATGCAACCGAACCACATTGCAGCGTGAGTAGTGTTCACAGTGATCTCGCGCTTGTCGTCTTTGGCGCCTCTTATTGCGAGTATCTCATCTCCGAGGACACCACACATAGCATGCAGGGCAGCAGCGACGGATGTTGCCTTGATGGGTCCTGGGATGACAGAATACTCCTCACCAGTGAACTTGACTTTTGAGAGAATGCTTTCATCCTGGGTGAAGCCGGGTGTTTGTGATACGAGCTGACGGAAGATGCGTGCGGTATCTTGCGGGACGGGAACAAAGGTCTTGTCTGTGTAGGTTCCAGGGCCATAAACATCCGGGATACGATCTGAATTGGCCATGATGGGTGGGTGAAGGTGATTAACAGTAGAATAGATTAGGGTATAATGAATAAATGAAACTGTGTGATGAAGTGTTTTGGTAGAGTTGTGGAAGATGATGAGCAAATGCTAGTTTACTTACGCAAAGCCTCTCTTATATCGTCTATCTTGAAGTTCTCTGACCAGGTTCTTCACCTACAAGATCCTTCAGAATCTACGGATACGTCCCTCCGATCCAGTAAAGAAGGAGATAGTTCGGACATACTTCATCATTTCCTCCCTCATCCTCGTACGAATACCATCATCCGTGCAGGGCTATGAGGTGTGCCGCGCTATTCCATATTTGCTATGTAGTAAGTTGGCCGAGATCTCCCGCGCGCCAGTTTTCCTTGCACGGGCATGACCTCTGCGAGCTTGCATCATATCTTCGAACGTTGCTGAAAGATATTTTCCAGATGTGATGCAGGAACGGGGTCCATAGATATCGGTCCGGTCCGGTCAATTGGCGATCACATCGGCGGTCTGACATCATTCGGTGATCAATCGGTGTTATGGTCTCTCGTGCGAACGTCTCTTGACAGACACAGCGATTTGCGATGGGATGCTTGCAGGTAGTAGAAATTTATATGTACAAGATGGGGACATAGTGCTTAGGTCCGAGTATTTTCAAGTCATCGATTTTCATATCCTCAATTCAGGATGCCACACTCAACAACTTCAGTGCCAATTCAGTACATCACTGTCATCGGCAGTGGCTCAATCGGAGCATCATGGGCTGCTCTCTTCCTCGCGCAAGGCCTCAAAGTGACGGCGTTTGATATCAATCCAGCCGCCGAAGCAACGCTGCGAAAGCTCGTCAAAAACGCACTTCCTGTGCTGAAATCTCTGGGCTTACTCAAGAACCCTAATACATCTCCCGGGGACATCACTTTCACTACCGACCTCGCTACAGCCCTCAAAGATGCCGACTTTGTGCAAGAGAATGGACCGGAGCGCCTTGATCTCAAGCAGCAACTGTTCAACAACATGGCCGCCTTTGTGCGCCCCGACACAATCATCGCCACCTCATCAAGCGGCCTGACTTGCACATCCATCCAGTCTGGTATGGGTGCGGACACACACCCAGAGCGCATCGTAATCGGACATCCCTTTAACCCGCCGCATTTGATTCCGCTCGTAGAAGTCGTTGGTGGCGAGCAAACCGCGCCAGAGACGATTGAGTGCACAATGGCGTTCTACACAGCTATCGGCAAGAAAGCTGTACACGTCAAGAAGGAAGTGGTTGGACACATTGCCAACCGACTACAGGCAGCACTCATGCGCGAGATGCTGCACATGGTTCAAAACGATATTTGCAGCATCTCAGATATCGACGATGCCATGGCGTATGGACCAGGACTACGCTGGGGTATTATGGGTCCTAATGCGCTATTTCATCTTGCAGGCGGCGAGCAGGGTGCACAGCACATGGCGAATCATCTTTTGGGACCTCTGACTACGTGGTGGGCACAAAAGGATCCTATACTAGATGATGATCTAAAGAAGAAGTGGGTTGAGGGCACAACAGAAGCAGTTGCTGAGAGGAAATTTGATGACTTGGTCACACAGCGGGATTCAGAGTTAGTTAGACTGTTAAATTTAAGGAAGGAATGGGATGGTTATGCGGAAGAGAGGAAGAACTAGTAGATTGTAAGACTAGGAGAAGATAAATTGATACCCTTCGGGATTTACTTTACAATTTCTATTGTCGTGATTACAATAAAGTCAATTTCTATGGTACATCGACTATCATCTACTCAGACATTACAATGAACTCCGCATATCAAAATCATATTTTGAATTTGCTTTCCCATCTACGATTATTCTCTGAGAATCATGACGTCATCCCACGTGGCGCTGCGGACCAGGGGCTACGTAGTGGCGATGGACCCTTCGGTCAAATTGTCTCTTTTTTAGATACACATACATCTTCTTTGCCTCTCTACATGATCTACATAATTCAAACTGAAATTTACGTCACAGGGTGAGGTTGACATATCAGCTCCGTTGAGATATTTTCCTGGAGAGATGGTAAGTTTACCGTGACGGCGCACGCACAAGTTCGGCCGAGCAAACTAGCACGCCCGACTTTGCAAACGTGCACGAAAAGTGGGATGGGCATGAAAGACGCGTATGGAGTCGGTGTATGGTGGATCCGAGTTTGGCCCGAATAGGTTTGTAGTGGTAACTGGAGTGGTGCTGGTATGTATGTATATAGAAGGTTGAGGAGCTGAGAAGTGGAAGACTAACACCTCACGAAAATTTGCCAACTCTGTATCTTCTTCAATAACTTCGAGTTTCTTTTCACTGCAAAAATCAGATTATATCAAATCATTACATTGGGATATCCTACAACGCACACTATGCCGTCAATCACTGAGCTACCCCAGAAAGCTCCGTCGAAACAGCGTCTCTACATCCTCGACGCATCACTATCCTCACCCAACCACTCTGGCGGCCGCATCGTCTCCTGCAATACAGATGGCAGCGACTTGCAGCCTGTCGTCTCGTCGCTACCAACACTGCCAGACGGAGTGACAATTGATCACAACAATGGCACTATGTGGTGGACAAACATGGGCACTGCGCTCTCCACCAACACAGGCAGCATAGAGACAGCCTCACTAGACGGCTCCAACCGCCGGATTATCGTCCCTACTGGCACAAAGGGCGTCTGGACGCCCAAGCAAATTACTCTGGCAAAGGAAAGTCGCACTCTTTACTGGTGCGACCGTGAAGGCATGAAAGTCATGCGCATGCCACTGGCAACAGAGGAGCCTGAAGTACTCATATCAACGGGCGATCCAAATATCACAGCAGATGCAGCAGATACGCGGAATTGGTGTGTCGGTATTGCTGTCGACGAACGCAGAGGTTGGTTCTACTGGACGCAAAAGGGCGCATCAAAGGGAAATGCCGGTGCCATCTACCGCGCACGCATCGATAACACGGAGGTGCGTGAGAAGGTTTTCGAGAACCTACCTGAGCCGATTGACCTAGAGCTGGATGAGGAGAATGCCGTGTTGTACTGGACGGACCGTGGGGATCCGCCGAGGGGTAACACATTGAACAGAGCGTTTGTTGGAGGCGGCGAGGAGCCAATTGGGGGAATTGAAATCCTTGCAAGCCGATTTCATGAGACTATTGGGCTTGCGTTAGACCTGGAGAAGGGCGTTGTGTATGTAAGTGACCTTGCGGGTGGCGTGTATGCGGTTGATCTTCAGACACGAAAGAAGAAGGTATTATTCCCCGAGTTAGGGGATTTGACTGGCATTGCGATTTTGTAGATATTTATAATACATAATTCTAGCATGATCCTGTTCAATACATTTGCTCAACTTATAGTCGTTTAGCTCGTATCTAGAGCTGGGCGATTTACTTGGATTAGTGAATAGGACTTTGGATGCACAACATAATATACTGAACACACCAAAAATAGATTTTGATTTGTCTCTTCACCTAGGAGGCTTGGTTTGCTGATATTTGCTCAAATGGTAGCAGCCTCACTATAGTACTCGGTTCGGCCGTTACGATGATCCCGGCAAAACAAGGCCAAAAAAATAGGCAACCCACTAGAAGCCTCTTAGATGTGAACGCAAAAAAACTGATAGTGTGACCTAACCAGGGGTCGAACCTGGAATCTCTTGATATTGAACTTAATCGTAGTCAAGCGCCTTGCCATTGGGCCATTAGGCCAGTTGTTCCGATGATGAAGGTTTTTGAAGCGCCATCAAATATATACTCTTTTCACAATTTGCACCGCAGCACTGAACTGGCGGGGTATGCACTCAACGTCATCCGCCCCACTATACTCTCTCTCTCTAATTCGACCACACACACATCGTTTCAGCACCCACTGCCTCGCATCATGGCTTCCTTACGATTAGGCAGAAGCCTGATCTTGTGCCTGCTCTCCATTGGCACTGCCGTGACTTGAACACTGTTCCCTCACATTTGCCTTTTCCGATTCCTACGATCTTTGCATCCTATAGCAATCGCACAAACTTCTATATCACGATCGCCAGAACCATGTCACGAAGAAACAGTGCCATGTATACCCCTCACCCGCTGACCGCGCAATTCGATAGCGCAAAGTTCATGGTTGGCGGGGGAGTAGCTATCTTCCATCTTGCAACTGGGCGCGTGGTACTATGCAGCTACGAGCAACACGGGCGCAAAGTATATTTCTTGCCCAAAGGACGACGAGATGCAGGCGAAGAGAGTGGAACAGGTGCAGAGCGAGAGGGGTATGAAGAGGTGGGTCCCAACACAAGTCTATCAGCATTTTCCCGAGGAAAAAAAGAGTTTGTAGATTGTTTTCGCAAGAGCTAATGCAATACGCAATATACAAAGTCAGGGTATCGAAACCGGCTTCTCCCTCTACCAACAAAGCATTGCCAACCGCAAGCTCATCCACGTGTCCACGCTGCGACGCATACCGCCGAGCCCGTTCTGTTACAGTTGATGCCGTTGCGAGAGTATCAGTATGTGGTTTATTGGTACATTTCGGAGACGCTGCCGCCGTTGCTCGAGGGGGATCTCGAAACAGAACTGGGATCGCCGTACAAACCTCCACCGCGTTATCCGGAGAATCTCTCATTGAGAGCGAGAATTGCGATGGAGCCACAGGGGTACGAGCCTAGACATCACGAGGGCACGGGCGTGGATAATATGGAGAGGCAATTCAAGAGCGAGTTATGCAGTGTGGAAGATGCGATAAAGAAGTTGGGCCAGGGCCACATGATGGGTGAGGCTATGGCGGATGTAGTTAGGAAAGGGTGGGAAGGAATCCAAAAGAGGTTCGAGATGGAAGATGCAGCCACGCAGCAGAGTCCCGAAGCAGTTTAAACCTTCCGAGTTTGTTAATTTGGAGATTGCACATAGCAGGGTATTCAGCACCATATCGCAATTTCCACATGCCACCCAACCTCTAAGTTTTTTTTTCTGTACCGAGTGCCCTACGTCACTTGGATGTTGCTGTTGTAAACAAAAACTCCCACGGTCTAGACCCTGGCTATCTGCCGGCAGCAGTATGCCATGCATACTGTAGAGTGCCTACGCCTGTCTATACCTTAGCGAATCCTTCTATACATACAAGGTTCCAACAGGAACATCAATAGTCCCAACATTATCCTGGTAAGACCCTGTGCCACATTAACCGAACCACTACTGTACACCTACAATCCCAATCGGAACAGCGAATATTACCTGCGCACGCGACTAAGAAGGAAGGCGACCACGTGGAAGAGCACAGTTGGGGTAAATTAGCCGGTGAGCGAGCCCGGTTATTGAACTACCACACATATCGCAAGGTCGCGAGGGGCAAGGTCGCAACTTGGAATGCAATGCAATGCAGATAGCAAATACCTGATTGAACGTTGAGTTCTTTCTGGCCGACTGCAATACTGGCACCATATAATCC